CCTCACACACAGCCCCCGACATGAGCCCACAGCTGCCGGGAGCACAGGCCGGCTCCTCTGCCCGGGAGCTGCCGCCCCCAGGCCCGCCGGATCCCCTCCCACAGCCGCGGCCGTGCCCTCCTCCCCTCCCGACCCCGCGCAGACGGTGCCCTGGCTTTGTCGGAAGCAGACAGGAGGGATCACTGGTCCTTTCAGGAGAGAGTTTAGCGCTAATCCTGAGGACACATGAGGGTTTAGGCAGGATTTCCTGGAGCTGTTTAAAGCCTCTGTGTACTCCTGCTGTCTGGGTGAAGGGGGCAGGACCCCCATGCCCACCTTCTCAGCGCTTAACCACCGGGATGGGGAGGTTAAATAGCTTTGTTCACGTGAGAGAGACAGTTTTATTATCCACAATTAAAAGGTCCTTGTCTCTGCAGAGCCAAGGCTAATCCCAGGCCAAAGAGCAGCTGGGTGCATCCCAGCCAGACGACTCAATTATTCCTCCACGGCTGCTTCAAGGGCTTCCTCATCCCTCCCTGCCCAGTGCTCCCCAGGGGCTCCAGTTCCCAAATTAACTTCTCTGTGCCACTGCTTCATCAGGCAGCCACAGGGATCTAATGCAGGAGCAGAGGGTCTTGCCCAAGCTCAGCAACTGCTTCTCCCCTCTTCCAAGTCCGCCAGGAACATCCCCAGGCTGAGAGCACATCATCTGCTCCGCAGCCTCCTCCTGCCCCCCACTGCTCTCCTTCTGGAGGCTCCCCCGAGGGCCAGGACAAGCCACATACAACAGCTTACAAGACAGAGCAGGATTAAACAAGCCTCTAAACAAACCAGAGCATTAATCCACGGATAACCAACTGCCTGGCCCCCCGGGTGGCTAACGGGGAGGGCAGGGGAGCAGCCACGTTCCCCTTGGGAGCTGCAGGACCACAGGCTCCTGTCCCAGCCAGCCCTGCTCACCTTGGAGATCTCCTCCTGCAGCTCCTCCTCTGTCTGCTCTGCCTCTGAAAGGGGAACAGAGCTGTCACCATCTGTCCTGGCAGCAGGACCCCTTCCCAGTCCCCTCAGACAGGTAGGGAAGGGGAAAAGCCAGGTGGGATGGGGCCCTACCTGAGTAGTCCACTATGTGTGTGGGGACCTTCTCAGGGGTGACGTCGGCCGGGATCGTGATCTCCTCTGCCCGGGGGGGCACCTGCAAAGCCAGCACAGCTGTCCAGCCAGCCATGCCAGGCGACAGCCAGCTGGGAGCACGGGTGACAAGGGACGTCACACCCCAACGTGGGCACTGCCCAGCACCCGCTCTGCCAGGGTGGGATGAGCTACGGATCATGGATGGCTTTTGGCCCACTGGGCTGCAGCAGCTCCCTGCACCCCATCCCTCACACAGCTCGTATCCCTGAGGTGGAACCTCCACGTGCCCACCAGGCCCAGCCTCCCTCAGCCACAGCCACCCCTGCTCGGCCTGGCCTCCCTCAGCCATGGCCTCAGGCTCCAGAGGTAAGCCCTGGGCAACCAGAGATAAGCCCGGGGCACTCCCTGGGCACTCCCCAGCTGTCTGGGCTCAGTGCTGAGCTGTCTGGGCTGGGCTGGCAGCAGGAGACGGGCCACAGGGCTGGTCCCCCCAAACCCCTGAGCTGATGCTTCCCAGCACAAGATCATGCAGGGCAGCAGCTGCTTGTAGGCAGTGGGAGAAGCCAGCTGATGACTCAGGGAGAATGTGCCCAGACAGACTGATCCCATTTTCCCATCCCAGCTGTGCTGGGACAGCGAGCTGCCCTGCTGGAGGCTCTGAGGGGAAGGACAGATCTGCTGCTGGCAGCTGGCCTGGCTCAGAGCACCAAACCCAGCTCCAGATAGGTACAGAGGGGCGGGGAATGTGGCTTGGCCCCTTCCGAGGGCTCTGTGCCAGTGCCAGGCTGGATTTGGGAGGAAGGCTGAGCCCTGCTGTGCTGGTGGCCACAACACAGAGACCCCCAGCAGCAGCGAGCAGGGGCCTGGGAGGTACCAACACCCTCCTGAGGGCAGAGAAAGCCCCACATCTGAGCACAAACAGGAAAACAGCACCTCAGCTGGAGTTCCGTGTGGTCCTCACCGACCTCACCTGAGCTTTAGTGCGATTGCTGGTGACTCCCACGGCTGTCACAGCCCAGGGCTGTGAGCACCCCCAGACACCCCGACCCCCGGCCGGTGGCACTGGGGACAGAGCTGGCCCACCCGGAGGGGTGTGTATCTGTGTGTCCCCTCCCCGCTCACCTCTTCAGGAAACTCCTCGCCCACCAGGGCCATGATCAGGGACGTCTTCCCCACCTGGGCTAGGAAATAAAGGGAGGACGTTGACATTGGCACCGGCACGGCAGAGCCTGGGGGGGACAGCGGCAGTGGAGCCACGATCGGGGCCGGGGCTGGTGACCGTGACACCCGCAGGGCCCGGGACCACCGGCGGGCCCGGCCGCTCCTCCGGCCCTGCCGGTACTGGGGGGATCCCCTGTACCCTCGGCCTGCCCGGGACCCCCGTGCCCCCTCGGCCACCCCGAGCAGGAGGACCCGCCCCACCGGAGCCCCGGGACCCCTCGGGACGCCGCTCACTCTCCCTTCACAGGAGGATCCGATCCCCACCCGGACCCTCAGGACCCCCCTCACTCTCCCTTCACAGGAGGATCCGACCCCCGCCCGGCCCCTCAGAACCCCCCTCACCCTCCCCGAGCAGGAGGATCCGCACGTCCCGTTTCATGGCGGCACCGCCGCCTCCCTGTCCCTCCCCCCCCACTTCCGGCCGCACCACCGAGCGGCGGCGCAGAGCGGCGCGGGGCACCACAGCGCCCCCTGGCGAGGGCAACACGCTGAGACCTCCAGGGTTCGCCTGTCGATGGTTTATTAACGAAAACAAAACATTTAACAACAAACGGCGAACGGGGCCGTGAAACACATCCCGGAGCCGGGCGGGGCCGGCCCGCCGCCGCCGGGCCCTGCAGCTGTGGGGACGGTAGCTAAGGCCTGGTTGGGGCCGGAGCCGGGGCCTGCCCCGGGAACCGGGGCCGGGCCGGGCCCCCCCGGGCTCTGTCCCCGCTGGAGAAGCGCCGCCAGTCCAAGGCCCGCCCGGCTCAGCCGCCCGTCAGTTCCCACACGAGCACGGCGCTGTGCGAGGCCGTGAGGAGGCGGCGGCCGGAGGGCGCGAAGCGGCAGAGGTGGACGGTGTCGTCATGGCCGGCGTAGTCCTGCGGGTCCCCGGCCGGGCACGGCTGCAGCCGCAGGAGCCGCGCTGCGAGAGGAGGGTCATGGCCGGGCTGGGGGCTCGGACTGCTCCCGGCCGCTCACAAACCCTCTCCCTGGGGCTTTTCCTTGCCAGGACCACCCTTCCCTGTCACACCTGGACCCTCTCCAGACTTGTCCCTGCCAGGAGCACCGTTCCTGGTCACCCCCCCAGGTTCTCTCCCTGCTGCTGAGCTGGGAGTTGCTGAGCTGAGTGACACGAGACAGGCAGATCCAAAGCACTCTAGCAGCGAGGTGCCCTTGTCAGGAGCAGGGTTGTGACTGTCCCCTGCCATGGGAAGGTCCCTGCTGCCTCCTGGGCTGCAGCCCATAACCCTGGGAATTCATTCCAGTGACAAATCCTGCCCCTGGACAAGCAGGACTGAGCTCATGCATCTCATTTCTGACCTAGGAGTCTCTCGGAGGTTTCTCCTTGCCCTGGACTGTAGCTCCCAGGGTTTGAGGATATGGTGTGTGTGCATGTGTCTCATTTTATGGAACAAGGACCCTTGTTCCCCCCTCACAGTAGAAGGGGAGACCCCTCCCCGTGGAGGGGCCCAGGCAGCCCCAGCACTCACCGTGGAAGCCAAGGGCCATGAAGGGTGCAGCCGGGGACAGGCTGAGCGAGGTGGCAAAGGCTGGCAAGGAGACTCTCCTGACCACCTGCATCCAACAAGAGAAACACCAACTCCTCACAAGGGGGAAGGGACAGCCCAGAGCTGTGCAGTGAGTCATTAGGAGGGTAACGGGAGGCTGAAGGTGCACAGCATCTCTCGAGCTTGGAAACCTGCCCCAGGCATCCAGGAGATGGCTCAGCAATGTGGAGAGTGCCAGTGCTCCTGGAAGCAGCCGCCTTCCCCTGCATTGGGATCAGGGACTGGCTGCCTGCCCGGACACAGCCCGAGGCAGGGGCAGGGCTCTGCTGCTCCCCCGGGAGTTTCCAAGATGACAAGCTGTTCCCTGAGCCCAGCCCACCCCTGTGACAAGGGTTAACACAGGGCAGCACTGCCTTCCCCCCCGGCCCCGGGGCAGGGCACAGGTACCTGCTTCTTGCGCAGATTGTAGAACAAGGCTTCCTCCTGCATCCCAAACCCCACGTAGACCAGGACATCTTGTTCCCAAGGGCAGAACGCAGCCAGGCTGGGAGGGAGGTCGAGACCCTGGTGAGGGAAACCAAAGGCAAGAAAAGTCTGGATTCTCCATCTTGACTCAATACAGTGGGGACAAAAGGAGAGCATGGAGGAACTTCAGGGCTCTGAGTATCTGAGCAGTGATGGAGGCTGTTTCCTCTCTCTTGCATTCCCATCTCATGGAAAGCAAGGAGCACCCCCACACACTGCCGTGAAAACCTGAAGCAAATTGTTTAGTGTCAGAGGAGCAGGAGACACGAGGGTCCAGCAGGTTGAATTTCTACTGAGATGTTGCTGCAGGGGCTTGAAGGTGGGATTGGGTTTTGGATTGGTTTAACACAAGAAAATAGGGCCCAGAAGACAGATCTTGAGTAGTAGATACAAGATTAATCCTTCTCACTCTGGGGAGAGCTGTAGTGAGTTTCCTTCCAGAGGAAATCCAACGTTTTGGAAAGAAAGAGAAGAAACATTGACAGAACCCAGCTGCTGTGTGGAAGCTCCCTTCTGCCTGCCAGTCTCACCTGGACCAGGGGCCATCTCCATATCCTCTCCAACACAGATCCTTCCTCCCTTTCTAGCAGGTGTCCTGCTGCCCAAACCTCACCCTGGGTTGGAGCCAGAGGCTTCTGCCAAGCAGCACAGACACACAGGGCTGAGTACTTGGCTCTGTGAACCCGTCATGGTGCTCCTGGCTTGGAATATTCATGCTCCTCAAGAGTGTCAGTTAGCAGCACGTTCCTAATTAGCTCTCTCTCCTGCATACTGTGCTCACGGCTGCCTGTGCTCTGGTTTGCTGGCACAGGGTGTCAGCTCTTTGCAGGTGCCGTTTTGGGCTCCTCATGCTTAAAAGTCAGTGCTTGGGGCAGTTTGGTAGTGCTACAGTTGCTTTCCGCACACAAGGTTTGTTAACAAGATAACTCTGTGAGCAGAACTAACAGAGATGACATTCCTAAGCACACTCTCTCTGTCAGAGCCCTGTGCATCCCTCCTCTATCTCTGCTGGTGCCAGGAGCAGGCAGGGGCTGGCAGGAGCCAGGCTCACCTCAGGGTCGGCAGGAGCTGGGAAGCTGAGCCAGTCGAGGAGCTCACACTTGTCCTGGAGCCAGTCGGAGGCCCAGACGCTGACCCGGCGGTCCGAGCTCGTGGCCAGCCAGAGCTCACCCCCTTCCACCCCGAAGTCGTGGTACTAGGGAACACAAACACAACACTGGGACTCTGGAGGCACAGAGGCTGCAAAGGAAGGTGACACCAGAGAGTGGGGCAGGAGCTTGTGGGAACACGGGTCTTGTGTTTAGGGGATCAATGCCAGGATTAACCTGTTTGTGGCTGCCTGCTCCCTGGAAGTGTCCAAGGCCAGGTCGGATGGGGCTTGGAGCAACCTGGGACAGCAGAAGGTGTCCCTATCCATAGCAGGGGGGTGGAACTGGATGATCTTTCAGGTCCCTTCCAACCCAAACCCTGGCCTGAACAATACAGTTCTCTTCCCTGGGACAATGTCTGGATCTGCACATCCCCTAACAACGTCCTTCACCTGGAACCAAAGAGGATCTCCTTGATCTAAATTACCAGGGAACGCAGCCTTACACTGTGGATGACTGGAAAGCCTGAGAACTCAGGGAAAATTATTCCCATTGCTGCTGCACAAAGGAAAAAAACTCTTCATGAAGAAGAAGACAAAACCATCCCACTGGTGCACAAACAAGTCCTCCCAGCTCCTCAGAGGAATGGTACAGGAGGCCAGGCTGCCCAGGAGCCTTTTTTGGGGGCACA